ACGGAAAATCAGACTTCCCAAGAATCTGTATGAGTTGCCAATTTGTGTTTTTGTTTCCCGAAACTGGAAGAAGGATACAGCTGACTTCCATGATCTTTTAATGCAATGATATGCAAAACGGTTTTCGTTTAACCGTGCAAGAAAATTCACCCCACCCCCCCTCTCCACCCCCATGAGTCTATCCTGCATCTTGAACGAAGGAGAGAAGGGAAGGATGGAGGAGAGACGAAGAGGAGAGATTGTAAAGGGGAGAGCGAGATTGGATGGGAGGGAAAGGAGGAGGAGGAGGAGGAGAGAAGGCGAAAAAGTGGAATAGGGAGGGGAGAGAGAGAAGGCATAAGAGTTGGAGATGGAGGATATAAATAAAAAGAAAGAGAAGGAGGAGAAAAGAGGGTGAGAGAGGGAGGTAGAGAGGAAGAAGAAGGAAGAGGGAGATGATAAGGCAAATGAAGAGGAGAGGGGAGAGGAGATGGGAGACAAAAAACAGGTGAATGAGGAGAGAAGAAAAGCCAACAAAGGAAGAGGGGGAGAGAACATGGGAGAAGAGAGAAGACAATAAAGGAAAAGGAGGAGGAGAGGAGGACATGGGTAGAGGAGGAGAAAAGGTAACTAAGGAACAGAGAAGACAACAAAGGAAGAGGAGGAGGATAGAACACGGGAAGAGGAGAGAAAACAGGAAAGGAAGAAAAGGATTAGAGAAGACAACAAATCGCGAGGAAGAGAGGAAACAAATAAAGGAAGAAGAGGAGGAGAGGAAACAAATAAAGGAAGAGGAGAGGAAACAATTAAAGGAAAAGGAAGGAAAAAATCAGGAAAGAGAAAGAAAGAAGGTATAGGAATGGGAGCAGATGAAGTAGAAGACAATAAAGGAGGAAGAGAGGAGAGATCGCACCAGAGAAGAAAGAGAAATAGATGGCGTCAAATGAAGAGGAGGAGAAGGAGAAATAGATTGCATCAGAGGAGGAGAAGGGGAATGCAACCGAGAGGAGAGGAGCAGGTGGGAGGGGCTTCGGCCGAGACGCGCGTATAAAAGAGCGCAAAGTCACATGTTCTCCACATCAGCTCTCGAAGGCAACATCTCTCGACGTTTTGGTCAAGAAGCGAAAATGGTAAGGCCCGAAGTCAGCTGCAAAATACGGTTTGCTTTGAATTATTAAATCTGTTTTCCTGTATTTTTCTTGTCAGTTAAAGATAATGATTTGTAATGGATAGAGCGGTGTTTGAAATGGGTTTAAATGGGTTTTCAGATGATCAAGATGGTATGTAATAAACTTTGTTCTGTTGATACCTTTCATAATCATCTGCCTATTTTCTTTTGATTTTCTTCAGTAATTTGTTTGAGTTTGATTATCATTATTACTGTCTTACTTATACAACCACCAGTTAGTAAAACTCTCCCTTGCAATGACAAAAAAAAAAGTTATTTTTTTGTAGATAAGCTTTGTATATTTTATGCAATAGAGCTCAAAAGGCATGTCATCATAAATGCAACAACATATACGTCCTTTAATCTAATGCTATTGAAAAAAATGATAATTACTTTGAAATTCCTCTTTTTAAACTTGCTAGGACTAGCTAGCTTTCGTATGACCGGCGCCCTGTCCCCTAGAAGCTTTCTTGTCCCGAGAAATCGAAGGCTAACCCGCCGTTCCCTCCCGCAAGGTCAACGGCAAACTCGCTCTGGCGGCGGCGGTGCTGGGGGCGCTGCAGCTCAGCCTCTGCCTCGCGGCGCCAGGCCCCTGGAAGGCGCCCGTGGTGCACTCTGTGGGTGTCGTCCCGGCTGTGCACTCTGTGGGCGTCGTAGCTAGACCCGTGGGCGTGGCTTACGTGGGCGGCTTCGATCACGACGACGATGGCTTCGGCGACGACGACGACGTCGGTCGCGTTGTGGTCTCGGGTCACAAGGTGTGGTGATCCGTCAGCCCGAAGGCCTCCCGACGGCGGATTCGGCGCCAGGTTTCCTTCCGCAGGAAGCCGACGCCGCGGCGACGACACCGACGCTCTGCGACTTTGCTTTCCTTTCAGCCACAGAAGTGAATAAAGTGCATCAAACTGTAAACACTGCGTGTGAAAACCCTTAAGCCAAAGGACAGGACGTAAATAGAGGCTTGAAAGGTTTCCTTCTGATAAGTGGGACGCGGGCGGTGACAGGCAAAACTGACATGTTTGTGTAAGTATTCAAAATAGCCTTGCAGATGGATAGACGTAAATACAATAAGTAAGAAGCACTGAAGGTAACATATAGAACAAATCGTATGACAACCGGAACGATGATTATATCCTGATATATGAGCAATGTTTTAATTAGATTAAAACAAATGTGCAAATAATAATATTGTTAAATAAATTAATAGAATGAGATTATACATACATATATACGTATATAAACAATATACAAATACTAATACTATTTTAACAAAAGTTTAAGTAAAGATAAGTACCCATGGGTATTGAAGAGAAGTCATTGGTCATTGTTGATCAAACGTGTTCGAAATCATCAATAGATTTTAGCAAAAGATAGTCATAATAAAAAGAGGCATGCATATCGGACATGTAACAAAGAAAGTTTGTGATTGGTCAAGGGCTAGCTACACTTTGCCATGATTGACTGATTTTGCGCGAGGAATAAGGTAAACAGTTTCACATATGTGCAAAAATAATATATTCAATATACAGAGCATATGTAGGTGGATGTCATATGGAGTACATAGTAGTTAGGTACAGCATACACAAGTACAGTAGAGAATACGCAGATAAGGTAGAGCACTCGCAGGTACGGTACAGCACACATACCTACGGTACAGCACGCGTAGCTACGGTACAGCACGCACAGGTATTCGCCGAAAGATCGCTCCTACAGGATATTGGACCTCACATCAAACCTATTAAGTAGAAACACTTTCAGCATAAAAAATAACGTCAATTTATGTTTTCATTTAACATTTAACACTTCATATGATTCATGCACTTCATTTCACTTTTCTTTTGCTTTTCTAACATAGTCTTATATAATTCAAAGTCATATTTCAATATCTACACATTTTATTTATACGTTTAAATATAGGTTCACTTAACAAAAAACAAAACGATACCAAGTTGAGCAAAGTTAAGACCAGAGCCAAGTGACCGACCGTACGGGGGTTGCTTCGGGCTTCAGTCCAGGTGAGGAGTCGAACCGTTTCGGGTTGACGAGTCGGAGGCGGCAAACAAATGAACCCGACAAAGACAACATGAACCAACAAACAACGACACCACCACCTCGGACCTTCACAAACTATATCTTGATATTATCATAATTTTAAAAAATTATTGTTATTGTTATGATAATTACTATTATTGCATTCATTTGTATTGAACTGTATTGTTCTAATTTACAAGGTCAAGGTTATTATGATAATCATCGCCGTTATCAACAAGCTGACTGCCATTATCATGACTCTATTGCGATAATAATGAAATAACAACCAGTATTACTATGATCATGATGATATTACAATGCATGCCATTATTATGACCATATTGACGTAATAATTGCATTAGAAACAAAAATACCAATTGTTATAATTAGTATTACCACAGATGATGTTATTACCATACATGTTTATTATTGTTTAGCTACCATAGTCATTAATATTAATAATATAACTACTTTCATCATCAATACCAATCGTCATTATCAGTATCATAATTCTATAGCTACCATAACCATCAAATCATTTTTTTAATGAATACTACAACCAATTAAATACATCGTCTTTTTCATTACCGATAATTAACTACATTACGGTTAATCCCAAGAAAGGAAATCTGGAAACTCACCCTGATCTCTGGACTACGCCGATTCACCAAGTTATCGTGGGAAAAAAAATGATAATACAGTCCTTAAACATGTTTTTGGATTTGTAAAATTTATACATATATATATGTATATATATTTTTTTTAATATTAGCTGTCTTCAATACCGCTATACATATTTTTTTTTCTTTTTACAATAGAGACGGAAAATCAGATTTCCCCAGAATCGGTGTCAGTTGCCAGTTTTTGTTTTTGTTTCCCGAAATTGGAAGAGGGATACAGCTGACTTCTTATGATCTGTGAATGCAATGATATGCAAAACAGCTTTCGTTTAACCGTGCAAGAACCCCCCCCCCTCCTCTCTACCCCCACACGAAGGATGAGTGTATCCTGCATCCTGGACGTAGGAGAGAGAGAAGGAGAGAAGGGAAGGATGGAGGAGAGACGAAGAGGAGAGAAGGTAAAGGGGAGGGAGAGATTGGATGGGAGGAAAAGAGGAGGAGGATAATGAGAGAAGACGAAAGAGTGGAATAAGGAAGAGAAAGAGAGAAGGCATAGGAGTTGGACATGAAAAGGCAAAGGAGGGATAGTGGGTAGAGAAAGAGATGGGAGACAAAAAAAAAGGGTGAAGGAAGAGAGGGGAAGATAACAATGGAAAACGAGGAGGAGAGAACGTGGAAAGAGGAGAGAAGACAATAACGGAAATGGAGGAGGAGAGAAGAACATGGGAAGAAGAGAGAAGACAACTAAAAAAGACAAAAGACAACAAAGGACGAGGAGAGAAAACAACAAAGATAAAGTAGAAATAGAAAATACAACAAAGGGAGAGGAGGAGGAGAAGGGACAGCAAAGGAAGAGGAGGACAGAGGAAACAAAGGAAGAGGTGGAGGAGAAAAGACAACTAAGGAAGAGGAGAGAACAAAGGGAGAGGAGGAGAAGAGAACACAACGAAGGAAAAGGAAGATGGAAATAAAATCAGGGAAGAGAAAGAAAGATGATATAGGCGTGGAAGTAGGTGAAGAAGACAATAAAGGAGGAAGAGGAGAAGGAGGAGAGAAGGAGAGATCGCAACAGAGGAGAAATAGATGACGTCAGAGGAAGAGGAGAAGGAGAAGGAGAAATAGAAGGGGATGGCAACCGAGAGGAGAGGAGCAGGTGGGAGGGGTTTCGGCCGAGACGCGCGTATAAAAGAGCGCAAAGTCGCATGTTCTCCACATCAGCTCCCGAAGGCAAGATCTCTCGACGTTTTGGTCAAGAAGCGAAGATGGTAAGGCCCGAAGTCATCTGTTTTATTTGAATGATTTACTCTGTTTTCTTGTACTTTTTTCAATTGAAGATAGGGATTTGAAATGGGTAGCATAGGTAATCTCAAGATCAAGATGGTATGTAATAAACTTTGTTCTGTTGACACCGGTCTTAATCATCTGCCTATTTTCTTTTGATTTACTTCAAGAATCTGTTTGAGTTTGGTTATCATTATCATTTTGTTACTAGTAAAACCACCAATTAGTAAGACTCTCTCTTCCTATGACATAAAATTTCATATTAATTTATATGTATCTTTTTTTTTTAGATAAGCTATGTATGTTTTATGTAATAGAGCTCAAAAGGCCTGCCATCATAAATGCAACAACATATGCGTCCTTTACTTTAATGGCATTAAAAAAATAATGATAATTACTTTGAAATCCCTTTTTAAATTTGCTAGTACTAGCTAGCTTTCGTATGACCGGCGCCCTGTCCCCTAGAAGCTTTCTTGCCCCGAGAAAGCGAAGGCTAACCCGCCGTTCCCTCCCGCAAGGTCAACGGCAAACTCGCTCTGGCGGCGGCGGTGCTGGGGGCGCTGCAGCTCAGCCTCTGCCTCCCGGCGCCCGGCCCCTGGCAGGCGCCCGTGGTGCACTCTGTGGGCGTCGTCCCGGCTGTGCACGCCGTGGGCGTCGCTCCGGCTGTGCATTCTGTGGGCGTAGTTCCTGCCGTGGGCGTCGCTCCGGCTGTGCATTCTGTGGGCGTCGTAGCTAGACCCGTGGGCGTGGCTTACGTGGGCGGCTTCGATCACGACGACGATGGCTTCGGCGACGACGACGACGTGGGTCGCGTTGTGGTCTCGGGTCACAAGGTGTGGTGATCCGTCGCCCCGAAGGCCTCCCGACGGCGGATTCGGCGCCAGGCTTCCCTCCGCAGGAAGCCGACGCCGCGGCGACGACACCGACGCTCTGCGACTTTGCTTTCCTTTCAATCACAGAAGTGAATAAAATGCATCAAACTGTAGACACTGCGTGTGAAAACCCTTATTGTTATAATCAGTACCAATATTGCTATGATAAGTATCACCATAGAAGATGTTTTTACCACAAATATTTATCATTGTTTAGTAACCATAGCCATCAATATTATTACTAATATAACTACTTTCAATACCAATCACCATTATCAGTATCATTATAATTTAATAACCATCGACGTCAAATCAGTTTTTTTTATTTCATATTATTATCAACAAAGTACATTGTCTTTTTTTTTTTTCTTTTTTTTTACTGATAATCAACTATGGTACGACTAATCTCAAGAAAGGAAAATCTGGCAACTCACCCTGATCTCTGAATTACGCCGATTCACCAAATTTCGTGAAAAAAAAACAATCCTTATACATGTTTTTGGATTTGTAAAACCTATACATATATATATTCTTTTTTTAAAATATTTATTGTCTTTAATACCGCTATTTTTTCTTTTTTTTCTGCAAGAGACGGAAAATCAGATTTCCCCAGAATCTGTGTGAGTTGCCAGTTTTTGTTTTTGTTTCCCGAAATCGGAAGAAGGATGCAGCTGACTTCTTATGATCTGTGAATGCAATGATATGCAAAACAGCTTTCGTTTAACCGCACAAGAAAATTTACCCCCCTCCCCCCTCCTCCTCTCCACCCCACACGAAGAATGAGTGTATCCTGCATCCTGGAGAAGGAGAGAAGGGGAGGATGGAGGAGAAATGAAGAGGAAAGACGGGAAGGAGAGATTGGATGGAAAGGAAAGAGGAGGAGAAGAGAAGGCGAAAGAGTGGAATATGGAGGAGGAAGAGAGGAGGCGTAGGCGTTGGAGAGGAAGTAAATAAACGAAAAGGCTGGGAGAGGGAGGAGAAAGAGGAAGACAAGAGGAGTAGAGGAAAAAGAAAGAGGTGAAGAAGAAGAGGAGAAGAAAAGACAAAGGGTGGAGAGGTGGAAAAGGCGGAGAAGAGAAGCCAACAAAGAAAGCGGAGGAGAGTGAAACAAAGGAAGAGGAGAGAAGACAACAAAATGAAGAGAAAGAGAGCAGAACAAAGGAAGAGGAGAAGAGAAGACAACAAAGGGAAAGGAGAAGGAGAAAAAAAGACACCAGGGCAGGGGAATAAAGGAGGTTTGCGTGGGAGTAGGAGAAGAAGACAAAGGAGGAAGAGGAGAATAGGAGGAGAGATCGCAACAGAGGGGAAATAGATGGCGTCAGAGGAAGAGGGGAAGGAGAAGGAGAAATAGGAGATGGTAACCGAGAGGAGAGGAGCAGGCGGGAGGGGCTTAGGCCGAGACGCGCGTATAAAAGAGCGGAAATTAGCATGTTTTTTTTCACATCAGCTTCCGAAGGCAAGACGTTTTTGTCAAGAAGCGAAGATGGCAAGTGAAATCAAAATACGGTTTTATTTGATCGATTTACTTATCTGTTTTCTTGTATTTTTCAGTTTAAGAAAGGATTCTTTAAATCCCTTTTAAATACGTGAATAACAGCTAGCTTTCGTCTACCGGCGCCCTGTTCCTTAACCCAATGGTGCCGGGGAAAATTAACAAAAAATGGGGAAAATATTGTGCCCACTTTCTATGTTTTTCGTAAAATGTCTGCCGATAGATGGCCCTGCTAGCGCCTGATTTAAATGGCGGGAAAAACGTATTTTTCACTAGTGCTATGAAAATCGATGGTGTTATTTTTTTCATAAACATTAATATTTTTGTAATCTCTTTTAACATTAGTAACAGCAAAATAAGATTACGTAAAATATTTTGTAAATCAAAGAAACGGGTAAACGGGCGAGACGGGCGGTGCTTGTAACTGGCTCATTGGTGATTTAGTACAAGTGTTGCCATCTATGCGTAAAAACAATCAAACAAGCACTCACTGTGGGCATAGCACGTATGTACACGTCATACCCGGCACCAAGGGGTTAAAAAGCTCTCTTGTCCCGAGAAACTAAGTCTCACCTGCCGTTCCCTCCTTTAAGGTCAACGGCAAACTCGCTCTGGCGACGGCGGTGCTGGGGGCGCTGCAGCTCAGCCTCTGCCTCGCGGCGCCAGGCCCCTGGAAGGCACCCGTGGTGCACTCTGTGGGTGTCGTCCCTGCTGTGCACACCGTGGGAGTAGTAACTGCCCTTGTGGCTAGATCCGTGGGCGTGGCTTGTGTGAGCGGCTTCGATGACGACGGCGATGACTTCGATGACGACGTCGGCTCGGGTCACAAGGTGTGGTGATCCGTCGCCCCGAAGGCCTCCCGACGGCGGATTCGGCGCCAGGTTTCCAGGAAGCCGACGCCGCGGCAACGACACCGACGCTCTGCAACTTTGCTTTCCTTTCGGCTGCAGAAGTGAATAAAATGCATCAAACTGTAGGCACTGCGTGTGAAAACCCTTAAGCCAAAGGACAGGAAGTAAATAAAGGTTTGAAAGGTTTCCTTCTGATAAGCGGGGCGCAGGCGGTAACAGGCAAAATTGTGTGTGTGTGTGTGTGTGTGTGTGTGTGTGTGTGTGTGTGTGTGTGTGTGTGTGTGTGTGTGTGTGCATATATACATACATATATATAATATATATACATATATCAGACCTGAGCTGACGAACTACTTGACGACCGTGCCCTGCCGCTCGTTACCCGTATAATTGTTGCCGCGACCTTGGGTAATCTGAAGTTGCCCGATGCAATGTTTATATTCTCCTTCGTCGCGATGTATGCACCTCCAATTTTCATTCTTTTCTTTTTGTTCATTCCTCCATGGATTACTTCTACTTCCTTCCAGTTCGGTAGACGGGCAGCTTCATCTACATGCGCCACCATTTAGTCAGTTCGATGTTTGCTGATTCCGGTGTCGAAACCACGTTCCTATTTCACCCAAATATGCCTCATCGATGTAGGGAATGCGATATACAGCACTGTTGGGGTTGTCTTCGGGTGGCTCTCTGTCTCGTACTGTGTTATTTATCTCTTCACCGGATGTGCTGGCGATTTTTTTTTTTACTGTATTGCCAAAGTACCTTCTGATCGCTTCGGCAATGACACATGGTGGCAATATGAAGCAATTAGAAGCGGTTGCAGTGTCTCATGATAATGATAATCACCACTGTTAATTATTAGTATCGTTGTCATCATCATTATCATTATTTAACAGTAATATAGATATGAAAAAATCCTGAAATAGTATCATAAACCTTTCTAACACTAGATAGATAGATAGGTAGGTAGGTAGAGAGATAAATAGATAGGTAGATAGATAGATATAAAGATAGGCAGATAGATAGATAAGTAGACAGACAGATAGATAGGCATATAGATAGATAAACAGGAAGATAGATATATAGATAGTTAGATAGATAGATAGGTTGCTAGATAGATAGGAAGGGAGGTAAGTAAGTAGGCAGGTAGATAGACATATAGATAGATAGACAGATAGTTAGATAAGTGGATGGATATGTATAGATTTGCATCTACTGACACACATGTCCACGCATACTCTGCATTATTTTTTTTATAATTTTTTAAATATTATTTTTTTGATAAATATTTCTCTCCCCGTGGTTTCTTGCTTTTTATTTTATTATTTTTTTTTTTTATCTATTTTCTTCGTTATTTCGTTGTAAATTTTACTTTTAAGCCTTTACCTTATTTTTTCATTCTTTCCTCCGTACCGGTTTCCATCCTGTTTCATATTTTTTTTTTCTTTTTTCCTTTTTTTTATGATAATTTCCATATGGCCTTGATTTTCTTTTCTTTTCTTTTCCTTCCTTTTTTTCTCTTTTTTGAAGGGGAAATTCTCTCTCTCTCTCTCTCTCTCTCTCTTATTTCGGAATTATCTTTGCACTTGCCTTTAATGTGTTATCTTATCTTTTTATATTTGATTGTTTTATCTTTATTTTATTTTGTTTTATCTCTGTTTTCAACTTGTTGTAGTAACAATAATGATGATAATGATAATGAAAAT